CATGTTTTTGGACTACCGTTGTTACGCTCAAGATATTCAGTTATGCATTTTGTTAAAGTCTAGAGATGTTTCAGAGCTGTCTGCTCTTGTGGACCGCCCCTACAGATGACTGGATGGAAGATCCTTTTCTACAGCTAAAGACCAACAAAACACAAGTTTTCATTTCTGCCCCATCTGGCTTTGTGGCAAAAGTGTGAGAAACTCTTTCTGTCCTCGTCCAATAGACCAACAGACCTACCCTCCCTATCGAGGTATCTCTATTAAGTCTTGACCGGCATTTAAACTCTGCAGTTCCCTCCTGTTTCTGAGAAACTTTGCTAAACTCACAGCCAGTAGGTCCATAGATGAGATGGAGATGGTTATAGACATGTCCATTTCCTTATCGACTAGAATTCTTATTTCACCTGTTGTAGTGATTCATCCCTGAAGTATCCCAAAACGCTGCTGCCAAGCTCCTCCAAAATGTAACACCATTCCTGATTTCTTTCTGAATTAAAGCCACTGCCATCATGTAATATCAGCAGGGTTCTGAGGGTCTCTGATCAGGGTTGGTTGGTTGTTTTTCTCTCCAGACTCGAGGCTAAAGGAGACGATGCTTCTGAGGTTGTAGCTCTGTTTTTATTTCCTGTTTTTATCTTGTTGTCGACATCTCATTTCTGTTGCTCTGTCTCTTGTTTGCTTTTTGAGCTCATAGAACTTGCTTTTAACAACGCAACACTGTGATCACATTTGTTCCATGAGTGAAGGTTGGATCGGGTTAAACACCTCGGTTACCTTTGTTTATATAGCACATTTAAAACAACAGACGCTCACCTGCTTCCCATTACAGATGAAAGATTAACATCACAAATGTACCTGACTAAAGGCAGTAAAAAGTACAAATAGTCATCTCAAGGTTCTTTAAATGTTAAAGTGAAGAGCTCACAGTGGGCTGTTTCCACTGCAGCAACCCTGGACCTTTCAACAAGTTCTGACCGCCAGAACCAACCCTGTTCAACATCTTTTAAAGCTGTTTTCAGCTTTAAGACAAAAAAGTAGAGTCCAGTCTACATGCTTCTGAACAGTCCTGAAACACCACGGTGTGGGTCTCTACCCTGATTAGTTGGAGATGTTGACTGGGTAGAGGGCAACAAGTGGCCTTTTTCTGCCTTTTCGAGTTGTAGTCTCTTTTCTACTATCATCATTAACAGTGTGAGGGGTCCATTATGGGGTGATTTCTGTAAATGTTCAGTAGAGTCCAGCCGAAACCCAATAAGAGCCTTTGAGGTGCTTATAAATGAAGCTTACTTCGTTTTTACAGGTAGGTTTAATGAGCCCATCTGAATCCTCGGCACTGTAGGAGCCGGTGCACTTGAATGCCACATCCAAATCAAGAATCCACTCTATTTAAAGCATCTAACCAACAAACACGAGTACTTCAGAGGACTCAAAGGCATCATCGAGTCTTTATCATTTTCAATCTTCCTCTCCTATTTCCCAGCAGATCAAAACTAATGGTTCACCCGGGCCGATTCCATCGGCTTGTCCACGTAAAAGCTTTGAAGATTATGTCAAGAAACTGTCATCAAAAACAACTTTATGTGTCTAAATTTAGTGCTGAACAGGTGTCATTTACCTGAAAATAGCTTAAAGTTCAAAGCAGATGTAATAATAAGTCTGATGTGGGAACTGGAGTATAAGTAGAGTTTCTCAGACCTCCTCATAATCCACAAACACCCTCAACTCCTCAGGCTTTGACTTCAGAAAGAGCAGCAAGAGCTGAGGAATCATTTCCATATAACCGTTCTCAGGGCACGTTGTGTTTTTCAGCCTTTCTGTGGACTGTCTGACCACCAATAAATCCCATTTAGCTTCCTCAGAGTAAAGTCTTCTTTAGGAGAAGCTCTGCCCTCCTGAGACTTCTCCAAAGGGACCATCTCTCTGGCTTGTCTGGGAAACTCTCCTTAACATCAGCACAACTTTTCATCATCAGACAGGATGAGATAAGCTCGAGAGGATCCATCGGCTTGTGTTTTGTCTCCAGGTGAGTCTCACAGCAGGAGGTGAGACGCACCAGACGGGACTTTAGTTTGGTTTAAGTGCACAAATCACAGAATTCTCACTGAGTTGGCAAATTGTTGCTCTGAGACGTTTCCAACTTCCTTTAAAGAAAATCCTCCAAACCGAGCAGCCGTCTCAGACATGACGGCGTTCATCCACAGTGCTGGTCTTCTGTCAAAAAGCCCTTTATACACGGGATCACGGTCTGCTGTGATCTGTGATGCAGCTCTGGCAGAACATGGATCAGTGAACACATCAGGCAAAGGGAGAACCGGAAAGTTAGAGACCAGAACTATCGAACAGCAGCATCATCACTTTACAGCTTTTAAATGTTTGTTGAAAGTATATCAGCATTTATGAAAGAAATACTGTGAATTTTGAACTATTTATTCATTTCAATCTTTTAAAATACAGTCGTGACTCGATAATCTGACCCTTAACAATCCTAAACTTTGCTATCCGACAGGTTTTTAGGAAAAACAAACAGAACCCATTAAAAACAGCCTTAACATAGTGATTCTGACTCCGACATGACATTTTATATCACCAGTCAGGATAACAGCGTATTATCTGACTGAACAATCCCACAGATTGGCTACGTTCACACTGCAGGACTTAATGCTACATTTGGATTTTTTGTGAAATCCAATTTTTTTGCGAGTTCGTTCACATTTTTAATTAAATGCGACTTGTATGTGATCTGCTGTGTGAACTTCATATGACCCAAAAGTGTGCCTAGATTTGTCTAAGATCAACTTTTCACATTTTACAGTACACCTCCTACACTGTAAAATATGAAAAGTTGATCTTACTTAACCCTAGAACACCAACGCCAGGTGATTTTCACCCGCACAATTTTTGTCATGTGATTTTCATTGTGTTGCTGATGTCTTGAGTTGAATGGGTCCTTGTTTAGCTTCAGGCTGCTCATTGATGTCATTAATGGTATGTTTGTTTCCCACCTCCCATCTATGGTTTTTTCAAGAGGCATGCGTTCAGGTGATTTTCACCCGGCGTTAGTGACAGAGGGTAACATTTTTATGGGTGGAATTTACCCAATGTTAGTGTTTATGTGTTGAAATCAGGCGCTCTTTGCACTTTTCAAGGGAAACAACATTCAGGCCACATCCTCTGCCCCATTTCATCCACAGCTGTCATCCTGTCACTGGTTTAGTTACTCTGGCATGCTAACAAGTGTACCTAATGTTAATTTACATCTGCAATCATTAGCTACGCAGATTTTCTTTTTCTACTGAAGCTAAGCTTTTAGCTAGATAGCTACAAGTGAAGTTGTAGCACTCAGAGAGAGGAAAAAAAAAAGAAATGTCCAGAAAATCAGTGAAATTCCTGACTGAGCACACGAACGTTAAAATTAGTAACACCATCACTAAGGCCGGGTGTATTTTACCCGATATAATATTCCCGATAAAACATAGTTTTCATCAATTTATGTAAAAGTACAACACTGTATGACAAATTGTAGGACTGGGACATGTGAGCCGTGTCTGGTGAAGGCTCAGTTTGGTTCTGGTATGTCGTCTGTCTAAGGAAATTCATGTAGTCAAAGAAATTTGGTAATTTTTCCCCTCTCAAAAATTGCCTTTTTTCATCAATCTCTGCCACAGCTGTCAGTGATGCAGGAAGACTGTACCTTCACCAGACAAGGCTCACATGTCCCAGGAATGGCTGGACCAAAGAACAAGTTCCCAGCTCCATTATTTTTTCTGTTTGGAAATTTCTCGTTCAGGATTACCTGATTTTTCAATAACTTTGCTGCCTTTTTATAGGGTCCCCCATGGTACCTTTTTAAAAAAAATTTTATGTGATATTGTATATTAGGAAATTAAAGAAGAGTACTACAGTTTGTCATACAGTGTTGTACTTTTACATAAATTAATGAAAATTATATTTTATCCAGATTATTATATCGGGTAAAATATACCCGGTGTTAGTGATAGTGTTACTAATTTTAGTGTTAGTGTTCTAGGGTTAAGCAAATCTAGGAAACCGGTTGCACTCAAAAAAGGTGAGTAAATATAAGCATTAGTCGTAAATTCAATTTACTTCATATCTACGTGTGAAGTTTACTTAAATTTTTGTTGTACTTCCTTAGGTTTGTGAAGTTAAAAATAGCATAATAGTATAATGAACTTGATCTTTCCAAGGGTTAGAACCTTAAATAATAATAATAAATCAGATTTATACAGCACTTTTCTAGACACTCAAAGTCGCTTTACACTGTCAGTTATTCATTCACACACATTCATTCTGGTGGTGGTAGCTATGGTTTTAGCCACAGCTGCCCCGGGGCAGACTGACAGAGGCGTGGCTGATATTCTGCCCTGCAACCACCACCTCAAACAATCCATTCATACGCATTCACACCAGGCAAGGTGGTGAAGTGTCTTGCCCAAGGACACAACGACCATGAAGCAGGTTACAGGACGGAATCGAACCGCCGTCCTTCTGATCATTGACCGACCCGCTCTACCACCTGATCCACAACCGCCCCATAAAGGTTCTGGAAACGTCTCCTGCACTTCTCTCCTGCACATGTGCACTGCTGAGCTCTGTGTTCAGTCCAGGAACAGAAAGTCCAGTTTACTCAAGTGTACTTTCTAACTGTTTATAACTCTTTCAGTCCATGAGTTAAATGAACAGGACAATGAGAAGTAAGGATACTAATGTGATTCCAGTAAGCACTGCTATTACCTTTTAGAGTTTACTGCAGTCAGCTGCTGGTTGTATTTCCTCCTTTACACATGACTGGTAGTGAACTCCACACGCTGACTGTTTTTTTTTGTTTTTAAGTAAAATTTTAAAAGCAAAACCGAATGTGTTGTGAATGAGTAAACAGGAAGTGCACTTCACTTACAGAGGACGCACCCAACTTTGGACTTTACCTTTATTTCAGTCTTTAATGAAAGAAAAAAAAAGGACATTCTTTCTTGAAACAACACAACTGACTCTTATTCATAAACAACACTTAAAAAAGTGTGTCCATCCAACATTTACAAATATACTGAGTACACATGTACACATCATGTTTTACATTCATCACAGTAACAAAGATAGAGATCAACTTTATTGATCCCACAGTGGGGAAAGTTCACCGTTAGACAAATGCTTGGACCAGAGTTTCATAGAGACAGACTGCAGTTGTCAGAGTACTCGAGGTAGGACCGGACTTGAATAAAATAAATGAGAAATTCCTGAATTCACAATCCATAGCAGGCCATCTTACAGAGGCCTTTGTTGGGTAAACACAAAGCATTATGCCAAATCTATACAGCACCATAACAAGAACAGAAACATTCACCACTTCCTGTTTTTTCTTTCAGGGTGACTGAGAGCTGCAGTTAACTGGCAGAACTGTGGCTTCTTTCATCTTCATCTTTGCTTACGTTAACACAGACCTACAACATTTCTTGACGCTCTGTTCTCACTGTTTCCAACCTCCTGAGATGGAGTTTCACGGCAGCGCTCAGCCGTCCTGTCGTTGGAAAACACACTGATGCCTCCCTTTCATTTGGGCTTCTATTGAAGCGATGCTGTCATTAACCCTGTAACACAAGGTGCATCGTGTTTGATACATGAGTTTTTGAGACCTCTACGTTATCAGTGCAAGGATAATCCACCGTGGATCAGTAATGTAGGCACCAAACATGCCGGATGTAGAAAAAACAATCCAAACTATGACCTATCGATGGAAATTTTAATGTACTTTTGTTATTATTATTTGTCAGAAGGTTCAATAAACACTTCAGTTTCAAAAAATTTGACTTTTCTGGCAATTATTTCATGGTTCAGGCTTTACAGGGTTAATGCCATGTTCCACCACTGACCAATCACGGCCCATGTCATGCCAGTTCCCTGTATGTGGTGGAAAGTAACTAAGTACATTTACTCAAGTACTTTTTTTTTTATAGAAAGAATTTGTACTTTTTCTAATCAGTGCTACTTTCTAATCCCCCCCCCCCATGACATTTTAAATGGATTATTGCACCTTCTGCTCTGCACTGCATTTATCTGACAGTTTTGTTTACAGTTAAGACGAACATTTTGCACAACGAGTCATATAAAAGAAAAGCTTTTAAAATACAACACAGTGTTAAAGCTTCTTACAAGAAGCAGCCAGGCTCCAGATTCACACGTCTATGAGTTGTTGTCAAATGATCCAACATCTCACCAAATCAAAGATCAGAGAAAGCAGATTTGTGCATCACAACTTCCTTCTTTTGAACCCTCACATGTAGCTGCTGTCCCTGTTTATGAACTAGTTCAAACCTGCAGCAGCTCCAACAGTAACAAGCAGCTGACGCACTGATGTGTTACTGTAAATAATCTGATGATTACACAACAATATATCAGTCAAATGGCTCCAACCAGTAGTTTCACTTTCATACTTTCACTACATTTTGCTGCTGATGCTGATGTACTCTGACTTCAGTAGGATTTTTCTTTTACTTATTTACTGTCTCTCTAGCCGGTCTTCTCTTTAAACTGACCTCACGGTAAAAACTTCCTGAAGAGTCCGTGTAGGTTCTCAGTCATATCCAGGTCACGGTAATCCAAAATTCTTCAGCTGGACTTCTCTTATTGGTTCTTGGAGACGTTTCACTTCTAATCCAAGATGCTTCTACCAGACTGACGGGGACTTTAAGGTGTTCGTCTGACCTGGTAACACTCCTTATTGTTTAGATCCTCAATTTTGATGTCTGCATTTCCAAGCTCGGCCTGCTTTCTCCAAAATTCTTCCTCCAGAAGCTCAAAGCGATGGTTCTTATGGTTTGACTCGGTGCAGAATTGATCTATTGAACCTTGCAGAACAGCTCCAGAGGTCTATCATGCTTCTTACGCAGTCTGTCTTCCAGATTCATCACTGGATCCATCAGCTGATGTCTTTTCAGACCTGGGAAGCTGTGATGGGGCTTCAGGTGAGTCTCACAGTAGGAGGTCAGACACACCAGGCAGGACTTCACAGCCGTCAGTTTGTTCTCAGGGCAGGCATCACAGAGAACATCTCCTGCTTCGTCTTGTTGCTCAGTTGAGCAGAAGCTGATTTCCTTTATGGTGAACTTCTTGAGCTGATCAGCCACCTTAGAGATGCCGGTGTTGACACTCAGCTCAGGTCTTTGGTCAAAATCTCTCCTACACATCGGACACCGAACGCCGGCACTAGAATCCCAGGTTTGTGTGATGCACTTCATGCAGAAGTTGTGTCCACATGGTACGGTGACTGGATCAGTGAACACATCCAGACAGACGGAGCACAGGAGCTCATCGTGAAAGACGAAAGTACAGGAATCTGCCATGTTCACACACTGAGAACAAAAGAATGACAATAAATGTGAAACAGCTTTGGAAGGAGACTGAACAGAATCTGTCACACAACATGAATAACTCTGACACACTGAAGTGAAAGTGGCACTTCTTTACAGCTTAATGCTAATAATCTAAACAGAGAGAACACAAAAAACTGTACTTACAAGTGTTGGTCGCAGGACACACTGCAGAAAACGGTTTCACTTTCTTAAGATGGCAGAAGGAAACTCCCCAATGGTCAGACTGAGTCATTTTCACTTTTCTTATGACTGATGTAAACCCTCCTCTCCTTCCTGCTGTTGTGGTCTCCCTCAGGGCTTAGACATGGTGACAGTGGTGGAAAGGAAATAAGTACATTTACCCAAGTGTTGCACTTAAGTACAAATTTGACTTACTTAAGATCTGTGTGTCAGATCTGTGTTTTTGTTCCCCTGTTCCTCTTCCATTTATCATGTGACAACCTCTGAAATCTTTCTGCTGACTCTGTGGAAAGCACAAGCTGTTAACCAAGCACTGAACTAAATCTAGGTGTTTGTTCTTCTACAGTGTACTTCTACTTCACCACACCTCAGGGGCAAATATTGCACAACATTTGTCTCACAACTTCAGTAACTTTTCAGATTAAAATTGCCTCTGCTGTGCCATGTATCTTCAAACTTGATGATTCTGAATGTGAATGTTTTTAATAAACTGAAAGAGAAAGTGTGCTATCATGGGCTCCACTAATTTCTTGTAATAGTCACTGTGTTGTATAACTATGAAAACAAAAAAAAGGAAATGTCCATAGCAGATGGAGAGCAGCAATAAAACAGAACAATAAATATGAAGTATTTTGGGGCTGGGTGATTGACAGCTGATTGAACATGTTGCTGGTCGTATTCAGCAGTAAAATGCAGCCGTCCTACACTTCAGTGCAGCAAACTAGTGGATAAAAACGATAAAGTTTACTTTGACAGATCGGCTCTGCTGGAGAGGGCTTCTCTGGTGTATTTATATATGTGAGTTTAGTGAATTTGCTTTTCTGTTGTTTTTGCTTTCAACACTTACGTACGTGTTGAAAAGCACGAATGCAGCTCAAAATAATGAACACTTTTCTTTAAAGCTACTTCATGAGCACAAACATGAAAAAGCCCAAAAAGTATTAAATAAAAACTATTTGGAGCAACTTTTACATTTTTTTATTTTGTAAATTTAAAAGCTTGTGTTCATAATTATGATAATTAAGGTCAGAACACAAACATTTCTTTTGAGTGACATGGAAAAGTTAGAACAGCTTCATTTTGGGGATTAATGAAACTAACTTGTGTTTTTGCTCTCAGCTTCTGAGTAAGTGGTTTTTAAAAATACCTTTGAACAGGCAAAGCAGGGCTGCAAGGTGGGGCAGTGGGTAGCACTGTTGCCTCACAGCAAGAAGGTCGCCGGTTCGCATCCCGATGAGGACATCCAGGATCTTTCTGCGTGGAGTCTCCATGTTCTCCCCGTGCAGCGTGGGTTCTCTCCGGGTTCTCCGGCTTCCTCCCACAAGGTCCAAAAACATGTTGAGGTTAATTGGTGATTCTAAATTGTCCGTAGGTGTGAATGTGAGTGTGCTTGGTTGTCTGTCTCTAAGTGTAGCCCTGTGATAGACTGGTTACCTGTCCAGGTGAACCTGCCTTCACCCTGAGTCAGCTGGGATAGACTCCAGCCCCCCATGACCCTAGTGAGGATTAAGTGGTGTATAGATAATGGATGGATGGAGACAAAGCTAATCCCTCTAACTCAATGTTGTTTGTTGGTTGAACACAATTTCATTGGAAGTAAGTCAAAAAGTTTGAATATTCACAGTCAGCATAGAGCACAGTCTGACCATACAGGTTCTGGTCCCACAGTAGTTTACAGCAGTGTTGTCTAGTGGATAATGAAGTTGTTTGTCAAGGCTCATCCATTATCCATCCATTTTGGACTGTGTGGGATAAAGCCAGAGAACCCACACTGCACGGGGAGAACATGGAGACTCCATGCAGAAAGATTCCGGTGGCCCCACCGGGACGCGAACCAGCGACCTTCTTGCTGCGAGGCAACAGTGCTACCCACAAAGTCACCTTGAAGCCCCTTGTCAAGGTTCATTTCATTTATAATAATTTCTACATTATTAGCATCCCTGCTTAAGCCCAGTGTTAACCACACAGCTGGACTCAGTATAAAAACTTCTGATGAAATGATTCTAAAATGACAAGAATAGCAACAACTCAGCAGATGCAAATCATAAAGAGAAACAGGAAGCAGTAAAACATCGATGCAGCAATACAACGACCACATCCACAACTACGATTTGCCTTGCAAAGCAGCACAGAGCCACAAACTACAAATGAGCTCTATTGTTTTGAACCATAATCTGTAAAAGTAAAGTTGTAACGATCACATGCTGATAGAAATAGTTGGTATCACTGATTAAAGGCAAATTAGATTAATGGACAGAGCGGTTTATTTTAAAGGATTATTCAGACCCCCTTTTCAATGCAGGTTTTTACAATATTGTATCCGTGGTGGTCTGGAAGATTTAAAACCCAGCAGGTGTCAAATCATTTGACAAGATTTTGAGAAGCTAAACTCCATCCTGATGAAGTTTTCCTCATCAACACACTGAGTCCACATCAGATCCAGGAGTTCAGTCGCTGACCTCAGACATCAGACAGAAAAACTAATGGATCGGACTTTTCCATCACAGTCACTTTTTTTCCGCCCTGATGTTGTCCATACTGCATTACCCACGGAGATGGAAACCAACTCTTCTTTCAGTCAATATTTATTGACACAGACTTTGTGTACTTTTTCCTAACCAGAAGACAGATATCAAATATCTATCAGGCTTGTGGAGAGTGTTCTTTTCAACAACACAGAGGGATTTTCTTGCCAGGACAGATATAAAAATGACCAGCGTTAAGGTAGTACATGACAAAGTAGCGCATTACTGTAATCCCATTACATTTATCTGAGACCCAGTCATGTCATGTTCCTAAACTCAATAATGGCGTTGCACTTGTTAATCTACTGTTTTGAGGTGGTGGCTAATGCTGCCTCGATTCTCTTAGACGAGCAGCTGAGCCTTGTTCTCACCAGGACATGTTCCTGTGCTGTCTGGACCAGTTTTCATGAACTTTATCAAACATCATTAAAGAAAGATCTACATACACTCTAATTACTAAGAAAGGGATTTGTGCTGATCTGGGAGCAAATGCAAAGTCCTTACAGGCAAGTCTCACCACTCTTCATCTTGGTCACACCCCCAGGTAGTTATTTTGGGATAACAAGAACAAGCTCCTATGTAAATGAATAGAGAGAGAAACTGTCATTTCAATGGTCACCAGGACTTAAATACCACATAATCACCACTCAAATCTAATATAAACCACCAGACTGTGTATACAGACGAACCTTTCAGGACTTCACCCATAGACACCTTGAATGTTTGTTATGAAGCTGAAATGAAAAAGGTTTCGTGGGAGTGGAGCTGAGGCCGGCCGTGTAACAGACACCGACCTGTCACTCTCAATCATACATAACTTTAAGCCTTAATACAATTTAAGCAGGTAACTTATATAAAAAACTACCCTCTGCACAGTTGTCATAAACAAGGATGTTAACTATATTGACCAAAATTGTTTTATTACTGGGCTGTAAACATGTTTACGTCTGCTGTGAAGTTGGACATTTTTTTTTAATTTATTTTTTTGGCCTTTGTTGGATAATTTTAGTCAGAGAGAGACAGGAAAGAAGGGGAGAAGACATGTGGGAAAGGGTCATGAGCAGGATTCGAACTCATGACCTCCACATCAGGACTGTAGCCATGTACATGGGACGCCAGCTCAACCAGGTGAGCCACAGCGGCACCTGAAGCTGGACATTTTAACATGGACGTCTATGGGGCTGATCTGGTTTTGGAGTCAGCCTCCAGTGGTCATTTGAAGAACTGCAGTTTGCCTTGTCTTCATTTTTCAACCCTGCTTGTAAAATCTGCTTCAATATTTCAGAGATTTTGCTCAAAAATGAGATTTAAAAAGCATGTTTCCACAATAAAGGTATACGACTACTACACATGTGTGCAGATTTTTTTTAAACACACACATGTAGTCAGTTCAACAACACGATTGGCTGCATGCTGTGAGGTTCTGGTGAGACGCTTGCTTTTTGGTGGGACACGTAACATACAGCTGCCATCTTTTGGGTGAATTCTCGTATTTCTATCCAAGATTCTTTAAGTGGGGAGTCTCTCTGATAGCGTCCCAGGTATGTGTAAGATTTAACATTATGTTAATAACTGGCAAATACATGACAATGCATCTCAGATGAGGAGGAACACTAAAGTAAAGTAACGAGTTGCTTTGCATAAGAAGTAGATAGTATTGATTATTTTCATTGTTGATTAATCTGCTGAATATTTTCTTGATTAATGAATTTGTTGTTTTGTCTAGAAAATGTCAGAAAATGGTTTAAAAAAATTTAATTAAATAAATGTTGTTCAGTGTTTCCTAAACTCCAGGATGTCATCCTCAAATGTTTTGTTTTGTCCAGTTGGATGTCAAGACATCCAGTTTATTGTCATCGAGGAGGAAAAAACCCTGAAAATACTGAAATTTAACAACGTAAAATCTGAGAATTTAGAAATGTTTTCTGACAAAATGACAGATTATTCGATTAACTGTTTATTCTTTACCTGACACAGAACATGATGCAACATTAGTTCTTATGACCTCTTGTTCACGTTGATAGAAAATTGAATGCATTCTTACACATTAAACCTCTGAGGATCTTAGTCCGTTGCTATCCTTGCATGTTGTTTCGGAATCATTGATTTGTGGTTACTGACTATGCAAAAGGCTTAACCAAGGGCACATGGACAAGGTCTCAGGGAAGAGCTGGGGTAAAGCTGCCACGCAGAGCGGTCAGCGTTTGATGTTCCATTTAAATCCATGTTATTGACATTATCAGCTGATGATATCTTTTCAACCCTCCCTCTCCTTCCGTTCCCTCCAATCGCCGTCTCTCTCCTCTTCATCCAAAAATTACATTTGGTTCATACTGATGCTGGATGGGTGGGATGTCACTGTTGCTAGGATACATCATCCTGACTACTGGCTGGCTTTCCTTCAAGGCTAGAGAGGAACGAGGGAGGAGGGAATGAGTTAGAGAACGGGGAGGGATGGATGGAGGAAATAAAGCAGGAAGAGCAACAAGGAAGAGAGCAGTAAACAAGAATATTAAGAGTGAAGTTAAAGGAGAAGGAGACGGAGGGAGGGGCCAGACAAGAGAGAAAAGTAGGGAGGATGTGGAAGAGGGGGAAAGGAGGGAAAGGAAAGGCAAAGGGAGGATGAAAGGAGGGGCGGGGGGGAGGCAAAAAAAAAAGTAGGGTGAGAGGAAAGAGAGCAAGGACAACAGGAGGTAGATACTGAAGATAAGAGAAAAAGAAATGATGAGACGGGAGCGAATAGTAAAAGGGTATTAGAAGAGGAAGAAGAAAAAGATGAAGAGGAAAGGCAAGGAGGGAAGGAGGGAGGGAAAAGGGAAGGTGGCAGCTGTAGTGAATGATAAAGGAACCACCTCATGGTGTGTTTATCATTATGTAATCTGCCTTCGTCTCT